AAAATCGAACTTTTTTCAGAGCAGAGATAGCTCAATTCTGTTTTCACCATTGACTTTTTTGGGTCGAAAAACTTTCTAATTGGGTCACAGAACCGAAATGGAAGCGATATCTAGACATATGACAAACATATAGATTTCAATCAAGGTAACTGATCGGTAGGTCCTAGGAAAAAAATCGAACTTTTTTCAGTGCAGAGATAGCTCAATTCTGTTTTCACCATTGACTTTTTTGGGTCGAAAAACTGCCTAATTAGGTCACAGAATCGATATGGAAGCGATATCTAGACAGATGACAAACAATAGAATTCAGTTGAGGAAATTGATCAGTAGGTCTCTAGGAAAAAAATCGAACTTTTTTCAGAGCAGAGATAGCTCAATTCTGTTTTCACCATTGACTTTTTTGGGTCGAAAAACTGCCTAATTAGGTCACAGAACCGAAATGGAAGCGATATCCAGACATATAACAAACATATAGATTTCAATCAAGGTAACTGATCGGTAGGTCCTAGGAAAAAAATCGAACTTTTTTCAGTGCAGAGATAGCTCAATTCTGTTTTCACCATTGACTTTTTTGGGTCGAAAAACTGCCTAATTAGGTCACAGAATCGATATGGAAGCGATATCTAGACAGATGACAAACAATAGAATTCAGTTGAGGAAATTGATCAGTAGGTCTCTAGGAAAAAAATCGAACTTTTTTCAGAGCAGAGATAGCTCAATTCTGTTTTCACCATTGACTTTTTTGGGTCGAAAAACTGTCTAATTGGGTCACAGAACCGAAATGGAAGCGATATCTAGACATATGACAAACATATAGATTTCAATCAAGGTAACTGATCGGTAGGTCCTAGGAAAAAAATCGAACTTTTTTCAGTGCAGAGATAGCTCAATTCTGTTTTCACCATTGACTTTTTTGGGTCGAAAAACTGCCTAATTAGGTCACAGAATCGATATGGAAGCGATATCTAGACAGATGACAAACATATAGATTTCAATCAAGGAAACTGATTGGTAGGTCCTAGGAAAAAAATCGAACTTTTTTCAGAGCAGAGGTAGCTCAATTCCGTTTTCACCATTGACTTTTTTGGGTCGAAAAACTGCCTAATTAGGTCACAGAATCGATATGGAAGCGATATATAGACAGATGACAAACATATAGATTTCAATCAAGGTAACTGATCGGTAGGTCCTAGGAAAAAAATCGAACTTCTTTCAGAGCAGAGATAGCTCAATTCTGTTTTCACCATTGACTTTTTTGGGTCGAAAAACTGCCTAATTAGGTCACAGAATCGATATGGAAGCGATATATAGACAGATGACAAACATATAGATTTCAATCAAGGTAACTGATCGGTAGGTCCTAGGAAAAAAATCGAACTTTTTTCAGAGCAGAAATAGCTCAATTCTGTTTTCACCATTGACTTTTTTGGGTCGAAAAACTGCCTAATTAGGTCACAGAATCGATATGGAAGCGATATCTAGACAGATGACAAACATATAGATTTCAATCAAGGTAACTGATCGGTAGGTCCTAGGAAAAAAATCGAACTTTTTTCAGTGCAGAGATAGCTCAATTCTGTTTTCACCATTGACTTTTTTGGGTCGAAAAACTGCCTAATTAGGTCACAGAACCAAAATGGAATCGATGTCTGGACAGATGACAAACATATAGATTTCAATCAAGGAAACTGATCAGTAGGTCTTAGGAAAAAAATCGAACTTTTTTCAGAGCAGAGATAGCTCAATTCTGTTTTCACCATTGACTTTTTCGGGTCGAAAAACTGCCTAATCAGGTCACAGAACCGAAATGGAAGCGATATCTGGACAGATGACAAACATATAGATTTCAATCAAGGAAACTGATCAGTAGGTCCTAGGAAAAAATCGAACTTTTTTCAGAGCAGAGATAGCTCAATTCTGTTTTCATCATTGACTTTTTTGGGTCGAAAAACTGCCTAATTAGGTCACAGAACCAAAATGGCATCGATGTCTGGACAGATGACAAACATATAGATTTCAATCAAGGAAACTGATCAGTAGGTCTTAGGAAAAAAATCGAACTTTTTTCAGAGCAGAGATAGCTCAATTCTGTTTTCATCATTGACTTTTTTGGGTCGAAAAACTGCCTAATTAGGTCACAGAACCAAAATGGAATCGATGTCTGGACAGATGACAAACATATAGATTTCAATCAAGGAAACTGATCAGTAGGTCCTAGGAAAAAATCGAACTTTTTTCAGAGCAGAGATAGCTCAATTCTGTTTTCATCATTGACTTTTTTGGGTCGAAAAACTGCCTAATTAGGTCACAGAACCAAAATGGCATCGATGTCTGGACAGATGACAAACATATAGATTTCAATCAAGGAAACTGATCAGTAGGTCTTAGGAAAAAAATCGAACTTTTTTCAGAGCAGAGATAGCTCAATTCTGTTTTCATCATTGACTTTTTTGGGTCGAAAAACTGCCTAATTAGGTCACAGAACCAAAATGGAATCGATGTCTGGACAGATGACAAACATATAGATTTCAATCAAGGAAACTGATCAGTAGGTCTTAGGAAAAAAATCGAACTTTTTTCAGAGCAGAGATAGCTCAATTCTGTTTTCATCATTGACTTTTTTGGGTCGAAAAACTGCCTAATTAGGTCACAGAACCAAAATGGAATCGATGTCTGGACAGATGACAAACATATAGATTTCAATCAAGGAAACTGATCAGTAGGTCTTAGGAAAAAAATCGAACTTTTTTTCAGAGCAGAGATAGCTCAATTCTGTTTTCACCATCGACTTTTTTGGGTCGAAAAACTGCCTATATAGGTCACAGAACCGAAATGGAAGCGATATCTAGACAGATGACAAACATATAGATTTCAATGAAGGAAACTGATCGGTAGGTCCTAGGAAAAAAATCGAACTTTTTTCAGAGCAGAGATAGCTCAATTCTGTTTTCACCATTGACTTCCACAACAAGAGGAAGGAGCCATGGGTGTCGGCTTCATTCTGTTCTGACCGATAGCAGTAAATTAAGAAGGATAGTAGGTATCATTGGATGTAGTCGAGCTTTATTTGAGATATTTAAATGCATAACAAAACCATAACCTGTCAGAATGAAGCCAACTACCTTCTGCATTCCTGTTCCGAGTGCATTTCTGGTTATGTATGTTTTTGTTTACCAGTTTTACTTATTCTATTTTTTTATTCATTTTTCATTTGTTTAGCTATTCCTCAGCAATTCGCTAGCTATATTCTTCACCATCAGCTATTTTCAGACTATATTCAGAATGTACGTCATAGTTTGCCGCCCCGAAAATTAGGAATAGCTTCAATGTGAAAATGGAAACAACTTGGACTTTATCGGTCGCCATTCTGTACAGCGTGGACATAAAACTGGAGAGTTCCGAACTCATTTCATGAAAATTCATCTGAAGAAAATTTCCCCATTCTTTCTGGTAACTTGTTGAAAAATTTGATTGAAAGCATTTTTTTATGTTGACTCATGACGTGGCTCAAAGGTTGAAGTGTTCCTTATGGAAAGATGTTTATATCATCAAATGTCATCAATTATTTGCCTCATTTTTTGATGTTTCATTAAATTCTGAGATTGAACTTAGACTCACGACTTAGACTCAACTTGAAATACAGTCATTAGAATTAGCATGATTTTGACTTAGGCGTCATATATTTATTTCATCTGTATAAACATTCTTTCAGAAGCAGGGTCACCAACTATCTACTTATCAATTTTATCATTTGGAATGTAGCATAGTTCCCTTTCCACCCATTTTTCTTATCTCTTGGAGCGCACGAGAGGAAATTCCTATGATTTCCGAAGAACATCGTGCGTCCGTAAGGAGGATAGGGATAGAATGTAGGTGTTGGAATTTTTCTGAACTTTTGAAGGTTATAAGTTCTCGGGAATATTGACATTGGCAAAGAATTCAAAAGCTTTGTGGAGTTTTCATAAAATGTTGTTCCACTTAAGAGCTAGCATTGAGAAAGAAAAAATGTCTTCCCCATCTGTACGTGTCTTCAGTGTTCCAACATAAAATAATGGAAATTTCATGTTGTCAACATTAGAAATCTAACCGTATTCTTCTTCTTTTCGGTTTGGATGGCCTTAGTTACCAGGATTATCTGGCCAAATCATTCCAACCTTTTATATATTGGGGTTCATTTGAACTTCTTCTCCATTTTTTTCTATTTCCCAATGTTACCAACATAAAATTTCCATTCTTTACGTTGGAACACTGAGCACAAGAACGGATGAGAGGAAGTGTCTAAATCTTTCGAACCATTCCCACCACTGAGATTTGTTTTTATGATTTTTTTCACAATAAAATAGTGGAGGCTAAATTTGGTCAGAGTTTCATCCTGGTCCACTGATAGCATGGCGTCAGCCCACATTTGTATAGTGATTTAGGCCTTTAAGGATGTTTTTCATTCCAGTGGAGACCCCAAGGCTGTCATTAATAATTCCAAGTTCTTCTATAAGCGAATACGCATGCGTCCATATTGTATCACGTGACCAAACTGGCAATGAGGTTTAGGAATGGTTCGAAAACTTTAGGCTCTCGTCAGATGGGGAAGACCTCAGAGAAGACGATTTTTTCTTCCAAAGAAACAAGGTTGGCAGTACTGATGATTATTTTGTAGAGGATAATCATCAGTTCTACCAACCTTGGATAGAAAATAAGAGTACGCCCTCTATGGGAGTTCTTAAAAGCTGTCGTCGAAGTGGCATGTTTACTTTGTTTTCATTGGTTCACATTTGTTTTTGTTTGTGTTTATTGGTCATATCTTCAAAACAAACCACTCAGAAATGTTCAAGTTGTTGCCGTCAGGTGGGGCGATGTGTTTTCTTCGATTGGGAATAATAATAATAATAATAATAATAAGAATAAGAGGTACTTGATAAAAAAATGGATAATTGATGAAGAATGATCCAATTTATGGATAAGATAATATGGATAAAACCGATAATTATCGATTATATATTCACCTAGCTTCAGCAAGTTGTTCCTGCATTCTTCTACTGATGAGGTCAAGCTGTACCCGATCTCCATCACCAGATCGGTCATCGACGTTTCCAACATACCCCCGGATAAACCGGGGCCTTCAGATGACATTTCCGGGGCCAATTCACTCTGTTCCGGATAAACTAATGGCGCTAGCACCACCGGAACAAGGTCCTTAGGAAAATCCCTTTGCAGAGTTTTCAGGAAGGTAGAGTGAACGTCGCTGGTGAGGCCGACTTCCTTGGGGTTCTTGAGGACAGCTGAAAGAATCAGGTGGAGCACCTCAGGGGTAGTTTCGTGAAGACCTCCCTCGTGCTGCCTACTGCTGCCTTCTGTGTCTATGTAGGATTGGACTAGGGCAGGTACACTAGCTCTCAAATGAGCCTGGGAGATGTTAGAGACTTCTGGTATGGAAGAATGACAGAGAGCAAAGGCAAAAACTACTTCCTGGACAGCTGAGAGGCGAAGGCACTTGCTCAACTGGTGGAAGAACTGGGGTCCAACTTTTATGGTCTGGAAGGAATGTTTGCTGTGAAAGAATGGTTATGCATTCCAGGATGGAGCTCTTACCTTTTGGTTCACCAAGGGGTTGTCAGTGATGTAGCAAACAGCTGTTGGTAGTGATGGTTTGTTCAACAAACTGGAGCACTGCTCTAATAAAGCTTGGTTTTGGGGAGATACTGTGGATATTTTAGATGTAGACTCTGAGAAGTCCACTGATGAGAATAGACATTGGAGCAAGTGACGGTCCGCCTCCAGACCATGCAAAGATACAAGCTGTCAAAAAAATGTACTCTTCTGTTAATTTTGCCAGATATTCCCTAATATACATTGTTATGATAAAATTGAGATTTTGATTACTATTTTAACGGGATTTCCAACAAAAAAAAAACAGTCAAAACACCTTTGTTCATCTTTTGATTACACGATCGGTAAAATAGTTTTCTGACTTGACACGAAAATTCCTGGAAAACATGGCGGATGAACCCGATTTGTCATATTTTTTTTCATTTATTTTCTGGATACATATCAAATGATGTTGAATAATATGAGGTTTGCTTACCTTCGTTAGATCTCCAACTGCTTGTTTGTAATTTTTTTTAGTTAATGTAGCAACTAAATAACTGATTTGTGACAAAGTGAAAGACAATGAGTCTAGGTTCATAGTTCCATGAACACGGCCTCGAAAGCTTCAAGTACGTTTGAAGCTTTCTTACGTCTGCAAGGGATATCAATCCACAAAATCTCAAGTGTTTTTGAAAAATAACTAGTTTTTATATGGTCCAATACCATCATCGAAACTTTAATAAACTTTCTCCGCTTCAATTTACAACAATCATCGTAGATATCACAAAAGACAACACAACCCAAAACACATGCACTACGGTGTTGCCACTGTTTCACGGTCTTCTTCTTCTTTTTTTTCAAGTGCTCGCCACTTCTCTTTCTAGCTGCTTGGGCTCTTCATCAAGCTCTTCTCATTTATAGGCTACCTAGTTCTTTCTTGTTCTGTGTCATTTGTCTGTCAAAAGTTAGAAATGCCAAATTATAATTTGAATTTTGGAAATGACATGTTTTTATTTTGTTAACTTTTCTAACGGCAAAATATGAATGAATTTGAGAACAAATTAAACAGATCACATTCTGAATCAGATTTATATAACGTTTTGCCGTATAGTCCACCATCAATCTATCTCCGTTCACAAGACATTTATAAGAATTCCCCTACCATTATTAGAAGGACCGTCTGCATAGAAGAAATCGTTTTTCCATCAGATACAATGAAACCACACAGCTCTCGCAAACAAATTTTTGGTAAGAAAATAAAATGATTCATTCATTCATAATAAATAAAAAGTATTAGGGTAACAACAACATTTTGTATTGTATATTGTCTATACAATCTATTACACATTCTATATCCCTATACTATATACTTGTTACAAACATCTCAACATGATCAAATATATCTAATCTAATCATTTAATTTATTATGCAATTTTTAGAGAAAACTGAGTATGGGCATAACAGGAGCATTTCATTCAATGATATTAGGAATGAATCAAGCAGATTCACCAATCAGAACTCAAGTTTGTTTCCTAAGAACCATTTAGAATCTTCCCTTACTAATGTTCCAATGGATATAGATATGTCTAATTATGATGAGCGCTACCCTAAAATTATGGGTTCTGGTCCAGGAACACCAATCAAAACAGAAAAGATTGATGACACTAGTGAGAATTCAAGGTATAAAATGTTTGACAATAATTTGAGACAAAGACTTGCTGCACAAAATTTGAACAAGGCAGAATTTCAAAACCCAGAAGTTAGTACTATAAAGTGTAGAAACTTAGCTGATCCACAAAAATTGGTGCATTTAAAGACTGTTCAAGACAAGAAATCAAATGTCAAAACCATCATGTTTTTGTTAACTGCTTTTGCAGCAGTATTTATTGCTTATTCCATATTTAGAAATGAACCTGCAAATAGTGATGAACAAATTCAGAATATTATCAGTGATATATACAAGAATGTCCATGAGCAACAAAATGTTGTTAACATAGTTGTGAGGTCTTTGGAACAAAGAGATAGCTGGCCGGGAAAGAAGAAATTATTGGGGTTCATTGGCTCACAGGGTGTTGGTAAAACCCATGTCACAAATATCATTAAACAACACTTTGCTAGGAATCTAGCTCATGAAATTTATGGGTCCCACTTGTATTATAAAACAGAGAAGAATAAGATTCTGGAAGCCATGGATGAATGTTGTTTGAATTTTATAGTAATAGATGATTTGAGGAAAAAAGATGATGTGGAACTGTTTGCCTTCATGCATGATCTTCCCAAAGATCATTTTATCTTTGTGATATCAATTTTCAACATTCACTATACAACTGATGATTTAGAAACTATTGTGAATGAAGATGATATCCTGGAAATCAGTGAATCACTAGACAAATCAGGGTTGAACCAGGAATTGGTGATTTTTCATGATTTTACCCCTGAACAAATTGAAGACTGGATCAGAAAACAACTGGCCAATCAAAATGTGAGCTCTGCTGTTCAAGAATCTGTGATGAGAGATATTTTTGAAGCACATGATCCTAAACATGGCCTCAAAGGACTGAGTTCCAAAATCACATTGGAGTTGGAAAAAAATAAAAACTGACTTTTATCATTCCTTGTTATGTAATTGTAAATATTCCTATTTGTGTACTTTTTTAAAGAACTTGACGAATGGTTTTTGTTGAAATAAAAATACATTATAAAATATATATACTTTTTAATTTATCCTATAATATAGTAACTATTCAAATAAGTCAAAATCACAATATTTTTTCAAAGAGTATCAGCTACTAAAGAAAAATAATACCTCCATAGTTGTTTATGGGTTTGGTCACCAAACCAATACTAACCATGAAGAAAATTGCAAAACTCATAATAATCTACAGTGTGTCCCACTTACCATGCTCACCATGGGTATCTTTTTAACGGTGAGAGATACGAGGTCGGTTAAATGACACCAAATGTGGAGTTTGTCAAGGCCAACTATAATGTGAAAAAATATTTTGATAAAATCTATTCGTTTTTGTATTATACCCAAAAAACAGATTTTGATCATTTTCATGTCTCCTCCATAACTTCTTTATTTATGAAAATATTTAAATAGGAATTTCACATTCTCATGGTAGTTTTTCAAAGTGATTTCGAAAAAAATATGAAATTTTTACCAACTCTTCTAGAATTTGAGATATCAGCACCAACTTTAGTTTTTCAAATGTAGGTCATAGCTCACTATGACTTAGTTACAAATAACTTTTTTTCCCTCACAGATGATATGTCGCAGTAATAGTTTTGTGTTGATAACAACGGAGTTATCGTCATTTATACAAAATCAAAAAATTATTTGGAAGCCGCCATCTTGAATTTATAAATTTCAACAAAAAAATCATGATCTCCGACCTCAAAAACCCCCACTTACCAATTTTGAATGGAATCGGACCAAATCTTGTCCGCCATCTTGGAGCAGCCATTTTTTTTTATTTCAACAAAAATTCCATAACTCCGATTAACTTGAAATTCGGCGTTCATAATTTCGATGACAATACATTATGGAATTTTTGTTGAAATTAATAAAAATGGCTGCTCCAAGATGGAGGACAAGATTTAGTCCGATTCCATTAAAAATTGGTGAGTGGGGGTTTTTGAGGTCGGAGATCATGATTTTTTTTGTTGAAATTTATAAATTCAAGATGGCGGCTTCCAAATAATTTTTTGATTTTGTATAAAAATGACGATAACTCCATTGTTATCAACACAAAACTATTACTGCGACATATCATCTGTAAGAGAAAAAAAAGTTATTTGTAACTAAGTCATAGTGAGCTATGAGCTACATTTGAAAAACTAAAGTTGGTGCTGATATCTGAAATTCTAGAAGATTTGATATAAATTTCATATTTTTTTCGAAATCACTTTGAAGAAACTGCCATGAGAATGTGAAATTCCTATTTGAATATTTTCATAAATAAAGAAGTCACGGGGAAGACATGAAAATGATCAAAATCTGTTTTTTGCGTATAAAACAAAAACGAATAGATTTTATCAAAATATTTTTTCACATTATAGTTGGCCTTGACAAACTCCACAATTGGTGTCATTTAACCGACCTCGTATCTCTCACCGTTAAAAAGATACCCATGGTGAGCATGGTTAAGTGGGACACACTGTATATAATATAAAATCAGTACTCAAGATGATGATCAAATGATGGTGATAAATGTGTGAATGTTCAAAATGTATTTCCTTTAATCTACTTCTAATCTTCTAAAATTTCCTGTAATACCACAGAGCGAATCACCTTCGGACCCACACGAAACTCCATTTCTTTTCAATGCCGAAACTGCACCTTCCTTTGCCTTTGCACTAAATAGCTCTTCATTCACAGCCATTTTGTCATGAGACATCAGAATAGGATGGCATTTATGTAATTCCACTTTCCACAGTTCTAAAACAAGAAAACAAAACCATGGCACTGAAATCAGAAGTGGGACAAGAAAATCAGAAGTGGGATCGATGCCATGGAATTATCCCACTTCTGATTTTACGAGATATTTCGTGGTTTATTCTCTCACCAATCATCTCGGACATTGGCATAGTCCCGCCATATTCTTTGGGAAGGATGTCTCGTTCTATGTGCCCGCTGTCGAGGGCTTCTTGTAAGTTCGAGTACAGCTTGACACGACTTTTGATTTTCTCCGAAATCAGGGACATGCCGAAATCGAGAGCGAATTTCATGGACGGGTGGACGTGAATTCCGTGAATTTCCTTGTGTCTCATAGGCAGAGTTCGCTAAACAAAAGATATTGAAATCTCGACACAACTAGCAGTTTTTAGCAATTAATTGTAAGTGTAACTTTGGAGTAATTGCGAGATAGGTGTACCTATAGGCAGTAATTAAAAATATTAGACATTGCAGTCTTTTTCATTTAGTAATAACGAACTGCATGTAGTAATCCAAAATTATACAACTTATACCTTGAAATAGTAATTTAAAATATTGCAACTTGCCTTGAAACTGCTGCAAAACTAAGTTGCAATTGTAAATTATATTATTGAATGTTAATGTTGAAGGATCCCTAAATTCGAATTTCTAAATGAAGGAATTGATCCAATTTGAAAAAGATGTTTGAAATCCCCTATCTTTCAATTTGCTCCTTTTTTATCTCTTGGAGCGGACGAAAGGAAATTCCTAGGGAGGACATCAGGAAGAGGAGGTAGGTGTTGGAATTTTTTTCAACTTCTGGAGGTTATAAAATTCTTGGAAATACTTCCATTGGCAATAAAAAATTCCAAAGCTTCGCCGTTCTATAGACGAACGAGTTTTGTTAGAGTGTTGTTCGACATTTTTCAAGGTTAACGACGGAGGGATGTGCTGACTGGGCCTGTTGAGTTCGTCTGACTGGCATTGTCAGTGATGGAATTATAGCAGAGATTTCTGAGGAACATTTCCCGTGGAAGTATTCCCAACTTCGAAGTACACCTAGCGACAAAAAAATTACCTCTCCGTTTTTGACGATGCGTACGGCCTCCTTGATGGTAAACAGCGTCAAGTAGGCGAATCCGACGCCCTGTCCGTCGGCGAAATGGACGAAGCCGCGCACCTGGTTTTCCTCGTCCTCCATCAGAGTCTCGTAGACGATGCCGTGAATTCTGCACATGTCTCCGTTCATGAACTTATCCAGATCGAACACACCTTCCACGAAAAAACATCAATAATCATAAATTTTGAGTAGAATCGGATCATAATTACAAAACTCCTCCACCATATTGGATCCGCCATCTTGAATCCGCCATCTCGAATTTTCAAATTTTGACGAAATAATCATAATCTTCGACCCCGAAAACCCCCAAATACGAATTTTGAGTAGAATCGGATCATAATTACAAAACTCCTCGGCCATATTGGATCCTCCATCTTGAATTTTCAAATTTTAACGAATGAATCATAATCTCCGATGCCAAGGAGCCCCAGATACAAATTTTGAATAGATTCGGGTCATAAATACAAAACTCGTCCGCCATATTGGATCCGCCATCTTGAATTTACAAATTTCGACAAAAGAATTATTATCTACGACCTCGAAAATCCCCATGCAGATACCAATTTTGAGTAGAATCGGATCATAATTACAAAACTTCTCCGCCATATTGGATCCGCCATCTTGAATTTACCAATTTCGACGAAGGAATTATCATTTCCGACCTCGAAAATCCGCAGATGCCAATTTTGAATAGAATCGGATCATAATTACAAAACTTCCGCCATATTGGATCCACCATCTTGAATTTTAATTTTTTTACGAGAGAATCATAATCTCTTATCCCGAAAACACACAGATTCAAATTTTGAATAGATTCTAGATCATAATATCAAAACTCGTCCGCCATATTGGATCTTCCATCTTGAATTTACCAATTTTGATAAAAGAATCATAATTTCCGACCCCGAAAACCACCAGATACCAATTTTAAATAGAATCGGATCATTATAACAAAACTCATCCACCATTTTGGAGCCGCCATTTAATTTTCTTCGTCTAACAAAAATTTCATGATGCATTTCCACCCGAACTATGTACAGTCGTCTTCAGAAAACATGTCGCACATAGACGATGATAGCATTCACAATAACTTCTGCAATAGGAGCGCTGACACCGTCCAGCCGGGACATGATCTCTGAAGACGACTGTACACCTGCCAAATATCGAATCAATAGGTTCGTTTAAAGTGGACCAAAATTGGGTCCGAAGGAGCCGGATACATAAACACATAGATCAGCTGATAAGCTTATCATCTCCACGACATTTATGTTTCGGGCTTATAATAAGTCCATCATCAGTCAAGGTTTATAACGTCATGACGATGAGAAAAAAAAACAGCGGATCTATAGTGCACTCAAAAATCTCACTCATGTGGATTTTTTCTTAATATTGTTTTGTTTTGATTTTTCACTTCATGAAAACCTCCTGAGGGTACACTAGGTCCCTCTAAAAATAAAAAATACCGTTTTTTTATGTCATGATAATTTACCATGTTTACCATTTAATTTAATAAGATTCAACAAGTTCGAAGAACATTTTTTCATCCTCATGACGTTATAAACCTTGGCTGATGATGGGCTTACTAAACTGGGCGTCAATTGAAACGTTAATAGTGAAATTTGGCATCAAGTTTGACTTAATTTCTAAAATATTGAACGAATTTTGAATTGCCGCCCAGATTCTGAATGCCTTTTTCATCGTCTTTCGAACCGTTCCTTACAGCTTCTTCTAAATTGATCAGGACCCGTGATACAGGGTGAAACAAAGTTTCGTGCATTTTGAAAAAAATTTCTCCGCCCCCCCATTTTGTCGGAAGACCACGATGCTCATATTTTATTCGGGCATTTCATAAATAGCAACCATACCTCGGGACATTTTCGAGTTTTTGTCAAAAAGTACTGTGGTTTCCGAAAAAAAAATTTTTTTTGCATTTTTTTTAAATGGACTAATTTCAGAGGAGTTCCATAAATGGATGCTTTTATGCATTTCAGGAAATCGTTGAAGCAGATATGTATACCAGGTTACTCAAAAACAATCAATAACTTATTACTCCGCACGTCCGCAGTCTAAGTTTTCTACCTTAGTGAGCAGTAAATCAACACATCTCATCAACAAAAACAAACAACGATACCTTGTTTCTATAAAAACGTATTGTTGAAACAATGTAGGTATGCATAGAGGTTATATCAATTGCCAATTTTTATGAAAACGTCAGTGTAATTCGGGTCCTAAAAAATTTAAAGATGCCTCGTTCAAATCGGGTCAAAATGGAAAATATCATTAGGTAAGATTACTATAGTGATATAAACTATAATTCAGTACAGATAATTATTATTTCAGGTTACGACGATTAGGATATAGGTACCCAAACTCATTCAAGTAATCAAGTACCATCTTCAATAAGTCAGTCATGACAATAAATAGACTGATTCATCGTTTAAAAAAAATTCAAAACAATTTTTTTTTGAAACCACAGTAGTTTTTGGCAAAAACTCGAAAACGTCCCGAGGTATGGTTGCTATTTATGAAATGCCCGAATAAAATATGAGCATCGTGGTCTTCCGACAAAATGGGGGGGCGGAGAAATTTTTTTCAAAATGCACGAAACTTTGTTTCACCCTGTATCACGGGTCCTGATCAATTTAGAAGAAGCTGTAAGGAACGGTTCGAAAGACGATGAAAAAGGCATTCAGAATCTGGGCGGCAATTCAAAATTCGTTCAATATTTTAGAAATTACGAGAAGTCAAACTTGATGCCAAATTTCACTATTAACGTTTCAATTGACGCACGAAATATGTCCCCATTTGCAACATAACTTTGTTCACCTATTAAATGTGGTGATTTTGAGATCTATTCTTCCTTCAAACACCACTTTGAGCAATATGGACTTGTCTTCACACGTTTTATAAAAGGGTGTCAAAAAAATCTTACCTGGACGAGTCACTATCACCCTCCTACCCTTGCTGTCCCTTTTGGGACAAGCGAACATGTATCCCAAATTGGTGAGTTCCTGCATCATGGGTATGGTGATGTCTAGACAGTTGAAGGCCACTCCGAACGTCTGCCGTAACAGGACGTACCGTTCCAGTGCTTCTTGGGCGAGGGTCACGTGGAACTTTTTGAAACGCAAGAATCGCAACAAGAAGCTGGAATCTGCGAAAAATACGAATTTGTTTTCATTCTTCCTCTATCACATCTTTTTGAGACTGAGAAACAGAAAAAGTTCAGAAAATCTCAATGCAAGTTCGCTATATCAGTCGAAATATTCCTTCCATTTCGATTTTGTGACCTAACTGTTGGATTTTCGACACAGAATAGTCATTGGCGTAAACAGAATTGAGCTATCATCACTCTGAAAAAACTTCGGAATTTTTCCAAACGACCCTTACATCTCGATTTGGTGGCCTAATAGGCAATTTTTTGGCCTAAAAAAGGGATTGGCGATATTGGAATTGACCTATCTCTGCTCTGAAAAGAGTTTGGAATTTTTTCATGAGAAATATCGTTCCATTCTGATATCGTGGTCTATAGGCGTTCGGATCGATATATTACTACCATTTTGATTTTGTGACCTCATCTGCCGATTTTGCGACAAAAAAGTCAATGGTGCTCTAAAGAAAGTTAAAATTTTTGCCTAGGACCATATCTGATCAATTTCCTTAACTGAAATGTAAATGTTCGTCATATTTCGAGATATCGCTTCCATTTTGATTCCGTGACCTAATTAGGCGTTTTTTCGACCTAAAAAAGTCAATGGTGAGAACAGAATTGAGCTATCTTTGCTCTGAAAAAAGTTAGAATTTTCGCCTAGGACCATCTGATCAATTACCCTAACTGAAATGTAAATGTTCGTCATATTTCGAGATATCGCTTCCATTTTGATTCTGAGACCTAATTAGGCGGTTTTTCGACCTAAAAAAGTCGATGGTGAGAACAGAATTGAGCTATCTTTGCTCTGAAAAAAGTTAGAATTTTCGCCTAGGACCATCTGATCAATTTCCTTTACTGAAATGTTAATGTTTGTCATATTACGAGATATCGCTTCCATTTTGATTCTGAGACCTAATTAGGCGGTTTTTCGACCTAAAAAAGTCAATGGTGAGAACAGAATTGAGCTATTTTTGCTCTGAGAAAAGTTAGAATTTTCGCCTAGGACCATCTGATCAATTTCCTTTACTGAAATGTTAATGTTTGTCATATTACGAGATATCGCTTCCATTTTGATTCTGAGACCTAATTAGGCGGTTTTTCGACCTAAAAAAGTCAATGGTGAGAACAGAATTGAGCTATTTTTGCTCTGAGAAAAGTTAGAATTTTCGCCTAGGACCATCTGATCAATTACTCTAACTGAAATGTGAATGTTTGTCATATTTCGAGATATCGCTTCCATTTGGATTCTGCGGCCTAATTAGGCGGTTTTTCGACCTAAAAAAGTCAATCGTGAGAACAGAACTGAGCTATCTTTGCTCTGAAAAAAGTTAGAATTTTCGCCTAGGACCATCTGATCAATTACCCTAACTGAAATGTGAATGTTTGTCATATTTCGAGATATGGCTTCCATTTGGATTCTGCGACCTAACTAGGCGGTTTTTCGACCTAAAAAAGTCAATGGTGAGAACAGAATTGAGCCATCTTTGCTCTGAAAAAAGTTAGAATTTTCGCCTAGGACCATCTGATCATTTACCCTAACTGAAATGTGAATGTTTGTCATATTTCGAGATATCGCTTCCATTTTGATTCTGAGACCTAATTAGGCGGTTTTTCAACCTAAAAAAGTCAATGGTGAGAACAGAATTGAGCTATTTTTGCTCTGAGAAAAGTTAGAATTTTCGCCTAGGACCATCTGATCAATTACCCTAACTGAAATGTGAATGTTTGTCATATTTCGAGATATGGCTTCCATTTGGATTCTGCGACCTAACTAGGCGGTTTTTCGACCTAAAAAAGTCAATGGTGAGAACAGAATTGAGCTATCTTTGCTCTGAGAAAAGTTAGAATTTTCGCCTAGGACCATCTGATCAATTTCCTTTACTGAAATGTTAATGTTTGTCATATTTCGAGATATGGCTTCCATTTGGATTCTGCGACCTAATTAGGCGGTTTTTCGACCTAAAAAAGTCAATGGTGAGAACAGAATTGAGCTATCTTTGCTCTGAAAAAAGTTAGAATTTTCGCCTAGGACCATCTGATCATTTACCCTAACTGAAATGTGAATGTTTGTCATATTTCGAGATATCGCTTCCATTTGGATTCTGCGACCTAATTAGGCGGTTTTTCGACCTAAAAAAGTCAATGGTGAGAACAGAATTGAGCTATCTTTGCTCTGAAAAAAGTTAGAATTTTCGCCTAGGACCATCTGATCATTTACCCTAACTGAAATGTGAATGTTTGTCATATTTCGAGATATCGCTTCCATTCGGATTCTGCGACCTAAATAGGCGGTTTTTCGACCTAAAAAAGTCAATGGTGAGAACAGAATTGAGCTATCTTTGCTCTGAAAAAAGTTAGAATTTTCGCCTAGGACCATCTGATCAATTACCCTAACTGAAATGTAAATGTTCGTCATATTTCGAGATATCGCTTCCATTTTGATTCTGTGACCTAATTAGGCGGTTTTTCGACCTGAAAAAGTCAATGGTGAGAACAGAATTGAGCTATCTTTGCTCTGAAAAAAGTTAGAATTTTCGCCTAGGACCATATCTGATCAATTTCCTTTACCGAAATGTAAATGTTTGTCATAGTACGAGATATCGCTTCCATTTTGATTCTGTGACCTAATTAGGCGGTTTTTCGACCTAAAAAAGTCAATGGTGAGAACAGAATTGAGCTATCTTTGCTCTGAAAAAAGTTAGAATTTTCGTCTAGGACCATCTGATCAATTTCCTCTACTGAAATGTAAATGTTTGTCATATTACGAGATATCGCTTCCATTTTGATTCTGTGACCTAGTTAGGCGGTTTTTTGACCTAAAAAAGTAGATGGTGAGAACAGAATTGAGCTATCTTTGCTCTGAAAAAAGTTAGAATTTTCGTCTAGGACCATCTGATCAATTTCCTTTACTGAAATATAAATGTTTGTCATAGTACGAGATATCGCTTCCATTTCGATTCTGTGACCTAATTAGGCGGTTTTTCGACCTAAAAAAGTCAATGGTGAGAACAGAATTGAGCTATCTTTGCTCTGAAAAAAGTTAGAATTTTCGCCTAGGACCATCTGATCAATTTCCTTTACTGAAATGTAAATGTTTGTCATAGTACGAGATATCGCTTCCATTTTGATTCTGTGACCTAATTAGGCTGTTTTTCGACCTAAAACAGTCAATGGTGAGAACAGAATTGAGCTATCTTTGCTCTGAAAAAAGTTAGAATTTTCGCCTAGGACCATATCTGATCAATTTCCTTTACCGAAATGTAAATGTTTGTCATAGTACGAGATATCGCTTCCATTTTGATTCTGTGACCTAGTTAGGCGGTTTTTCGACCTAAAAAAGTCAATGGTGAGAACAGAATTGAGCTATCTTTGCTCTGAAAAAAGTTAGAATTTTCGCCTAGGACCATCTGATCAATTTCCTTTACTGAAATGTAAATGTTCGTCATAGTACGAGATATCGCTTCCATTTTGATTCTGTGACCTAATAGGCGGTTTTTTGACCTAAAAAAGTAGATGGTGAGAACAGAATTGAGCTATCTTTGCACTGAAAAAAGTTAGAATTTTCGCCTAGGACCATCTGATCAATTTCCTTTACTGAAATTTAAATGTTTGTCATAGTACGAGATATCGCTTCCATTTCGATTCTGTGACCTAATTAGGCGGTTTTTCGACCTAAAAAAGTCAATGGTGAGAACAGATTTGAGCTATCTTTGCTCTGAAAAAAGTTAGAATTTTCGCCTAGGACCATCTGATCAATTTCCTTTACTGAAATGTAAATGTTTGTCATAGTACGAGATATCGCTTCCATTTTGATTCTGTGACCTAATAGGCGGTTTTTTGACCTAAAAAAGTAGATGGTGAGAACAGAATTGAGCTATCTTTGCTCTGAAAAAAGTTAGAATTTTCGTCTAGGACCATCTGATAAATTTCCTTTACTGAAATGTAAATGTTTGTCATAGTACGAGATATCGCTTCCATTTCGATTCTGTGACCTAATTAGGCGGTATTTCGACTTAAAAAAGGCAATGGTGAAAACAGAATTGAGCTATCTTTGCACTGAAAAAAGTTGGAATTTTCGCCTAGGACCATCTGATCAATTTCCTTTACTGAAATTTAAATGTTTGTCATAGTACGAGATATCGCTTCCATTTCGATTCTGTGACCTAATTAGGCGGTTTTTCGACCTAAAAAAGTCAATGGTGAGAACAGATTTGAGCTATCTTTGCTCTGAAAAAAGTTAGAATTTTCGCCTAGGACCATCTGATCAATTTCCTTTACTGAAATGTAAATGTTTGTCATAGTACGAGATATCGCTTCCATTTTGATTCTGTGACCTAATTAGGCGGTTTTTCGAACTGGAAAAGTCAATGGTGAGGACAGAATTGAGCTATTTTTGCTCTGAAAAAAGTTAGAATTTTCGCCTAGGACCATCTGATCAATTACTTTAACTGAAATGTAAATGTTTGTCATATTTCGAGATATCGCTTCCATTTCAATTCTGTGACCTGATTAGGCGGTTTTTCGACCCAAAAAAGTCAATGGTGAGAACAGAATAGGGCTATATCTTTGCTCTGTAAAAAGTTCGGATTTTCTCCTACTACCAACTGATCGATGTCTCAAGCTGAAATGTGAATGTTCCTCATCTGTCGAGATTTCGCTTCCACTTTGATTCTGGGACCCAAATAGACAGTTTTTCGACCCAAAAAAGTTGATGGTGAAAACAGAATTGAGCTATCTTTGCTCTGAAAAAAGTTCGGAGTTTTTCCTACTACCAACTGATCGATAATCGACCGTTTCAAGCATTTTTTTGTTAAAATATAACTCTTATACAGACTCGCACTTTCCGTTCTGCGAGAATTTCAAAAAATGGGAACTTTTAATTCTCCTTACCCATTCTACAATTCCTTATTTTGGGGTTCTGCTTGATCCATTCCCGCATGGAGGCCAGCGCGGTACGACGCGAATTCTCATCTTCGCGCAGCTCCTCCTTAGCTATGGCTTGGGTCTCCGCAGACAGCTGACAAACGTATTCGTCGGCTTCGGTGACCCACTCACGGTCAGACATCTTTTCTGCAAGAAAAAAATGAAAAAAACCGGCATTACGGAGTTTCGGACAGGACTACTGAACATTCGAACTACAGGACATCTGAACTACAGGACATTTGAACTACAGGACATTTGAACTGAAAGAAGACCGAAAGGTTATCCGACCAACCGGACCAGTGTTAGGAAGATATTAGTGGAGAGTCATTTCAGATCGAGAACATCGATAGAAAATCCAACACTGAGAAGATAAATAATTGTATTCTCGTCTTCGGGCAGCTTCGTTCTTAGCTACGCGGACAGCTGATAAACGTACTCGTCGGCTTCGGTGACCCACTCACGGTCAGACATCTTTTATGCAAGGGGAACATAAAAGAAATAGGCATTACGGAGTTTCGGACATGACTACTGAACATTCGAACTACAGGACATTTGAACTACTAGACTAGACATTAGAGCTACAGGACGTTTGAACTAAAATATATTAGACCGAAAGGTTATTTGACCAAACAGACCAGTGTTAGGAAGATATTAGTGGAGTCATGACAGCACGAGAACACCTTTTATACAAGGAAAACATGAGAAAAACAGGACTACTAGACGTTTGAACTATCGGACATTAGACCTAAAGGGCGTTTGAACTAAAAGACAATAGACAGAAAGGACACAAGAAAGAAGCAGACTCGTTCTAGAGATAAGTGGACTTTAGTGGACAGTCATGATAGAGCACTTACGGGAACATTGATTGTAATCCAAAACTAAAAAGATAAATGTTCTAGCAAACAAAGAAGGCATTCATTGCGGAACTAAAGAAAAAAATCGGCGTTTCTTCAGTTAGAGGGTTTTTGTATAAGACTCCAGGAAATTAGACAGAAACGATGTATGACCAAGCAGACCTGTGACCGAGAGAGATGATGATGAAAAATCAAAAATTTAAAAAATGGATAATTAGAGAGATTGTTACTAAAATGTCACACTAAAAAAAAAGGAAAACGAGATGAAAAAGAAAAGTGGACATTTGATCGGAATGCATTCATCAACTGTGGATTATACAGAGTAGAGTAGAGTGAAGTAGAGTAGATCAGAGCAGAGTAGAGTAGGGAAGAGAAGAGTAGAGTGTGGTAGAGTAGGGTAGAGTAGAGTAAAGGAGTAGAGTAGAGTAGATTCTACAATAGACAAAAGGAACATTGGTCCAAATTGACATTGAGCATTGACATACAATTTTGGGACGAATTTGGAGTGGATAGTCTGGAAAAAACTACAATCCTCATGTTGAATGAGAAAAAATATATATAAATGTATAGGTGATATAGAAGGTTACAGTATAAAATGCGAAATAGGCGTTATAAAATACAGATAATTACTATTATACATACCTAACACCAGGGAAACTTCGCTCTTTGAAATTCAAAGATATTAGATATTCCCCGTGAGGCTTCTACAATCAGTAGCCTAATTAATCCCACGCAGATCAAATAATCTACTGGGCACCTAGGTGATTTTGCGGTGTTAAAAAAGACGTTTAAAATGTTTATGGTAATTAGTCAAATTATGGTACCTAGCCTGCTGACACCTATTAGCCATTAGCAACAATATTGGAATAAGGTACTTGATAAAATGTAGCGTCCTGTATGGTTCTGGTACACAAGAAACCGCGTGTTTATAAAAATATGTACTATATAAATGAATTGATTCAACAGAGAAAGTATTATTATAATATTCATATTTAAAAATTCTTATATATTGGTGGGTGAGCATTATATAAGATGCTGTGTATGTCTGATCGTTATATAATGATCTTGTCCTAATAATAGTCGATTATATTGAACCATAATGGTCGTGTTTCCGACGAATATGAGATAATAAACAGACTGTGTGCCAATGTCCTACTTATTGAAATTTGATGTAGATTTTTTTTTCAAACGGACACTATAGGTAGTTGTATTTTTTTGGTTGATATTATAAAATCAGTACATTTGAGCTCCATCTGAATAAAAATATTGGTATCAATTTGTTCCAGAAACATTTTTTTGTATTAGAATAATTATAGATCGCCACTCATTTAAAATATAAAAAAAATGAATCACTGATATTTTATTAATGATCCAGAGTACAGTTATTGAAGTACCTACCTATCTATTAATCATAGTAATTTCGCAAATTATTTCACGACAATATCATAAACAGTGATTAAATCAATCAGGTTTGTTTTTCATATCGTTAAATTTTCAGTGTCTTAAATTATCCGTCGTTTGATCATTCCATTTCACTCTACAATCATAATTTTCTAAGTTGCAGAACTGAAGACATATATTTATATTCATCAACTACATTCAACAATAAGATGTGGTTGAATTAGAAAACTAAAATGCGCACTATCAATATTGGATTTCAGGAAAGGTCACAATATACACGATTGTCATCAAGATTGCTTCATGATTGGAAATTATGTACGTATTTCATGTGAGAATGCAAAATTTCTTCATGAATTGAACTATATTTTTCAAAAATTAATCACTCCGTAAGTATTTCTTAGATTTTCTAGGTTCTATATTTGATGAAAGCAATTAACACTGAAATGCAATTGATCAATTCTAGAATTCAAAAGACTATTCTGAAAAAAAAAGGTAGTTTCTAAAATTCAATTGAAGCTTTCTTAAAATCGAATGATATTTTCTGAAAGACAAATAATAAATTCTAGAATTCAAATGACTATTTTGTAAAAAACGGTGCTTTCTGAAATTCAATTTACGCTTTCTCAAATTCAAATTATATTTCCTGAAACACAAATGATAAATTCTAGAATTCAAATGACTATTCTTGAACACAATTGAGGCATTCTAAAATTCGATTGACTCTTCCTGAAATAGAAATGTTATTTTCTGAAACATAAATGATACTCAGAATCCAAATATTGACGCTTTCTGAGATTCAAATAATATTTTCTGATACACAAAAAATATTTATTCTAGAATTCAAATGACAATTCTGAAACAAATTTGAGCATTCCAAAATTCTACTGACGCTTCCTAAGATTCAAATATTATTTTCGGAAACACAAAATGATAAATTCTAGAATTCGAATTACTATTTTGAAACACAATTAGTGCATTCTAAAATTCAATTTTCAGGTTTTTTTGAGATTCAAATGATATTTTCTGAAACACAAATGATAAATTACTTACTATTCTGAAACAAACTTGGTGGTTTCTGAAATTCAATTGAAACTTCCAGGAAAATACCCGAAAGAAAATCTTGTAGTCAATTTGCGTTACATTTTTGAAAAACCGAAAATCACAAACGAGAACATAACGGATATTATGAGTCACCCCAATCTTATTGATTAGCTATTTTCTGTCAGACATGTGTACAGGGTGAAAAACCAAGAACGGCTGTCATATATACCAGACTTCCAACTTTGATAGTTATTGATATATTCCGTTGGCGAAAAGCTATCATAATGCGGTTTTCGTTGGTCTGTTGAGATTCAGTTTCTCTATTACAACTTAGTTGTTCACCCTGTATGTGTATCAAAAACCATGCATAAATCACTCACCGAAATCCGAATATCCGTACGTAAATCCAAGAAGAGTGAATGGCACACTGCCTCCGTAAATAAGGAAGAATTTTGTTTTATGTTACGGGGCGATTCGAGCGTGCCCCCACCCATTTTTATCGTTACTTAGCACTTCGTGGATCCACTGGCGTCACAAAGGGGGGGGGGCACAGGTGCTCATGAAAAATGAAAGATCATTGCGTATTGCATATTATTTTGTATTTTTTAATAGGTACCCTTTTATTAGCTTCACCTGTAGAATAAGTATGTAACCAACTCCTTTGGACTCAATTTTGAACCACTTATTAAAACGGACCGATTGATTTGAAATTTGGCAGGTGTACAGGGTGGCCAACTAAGAATCGAGAGTTCGATACCTCTGTTGTCTTGAGAGATACAAAAAAAATTTTGCATTCAAATTGAAGTGGTAACCGAGCATCGCATTTCAAAATTTCTTTGAAATACACAGGGTGTTTCGTAAGGTCACAGCACATCAAAGCTATGTTTTTTTCATTGGAACACCCTATATTTTATTTTATTTTTGAATTCTTCCTGAAAATCTGATTTCAACGACGTATCATACTTAGGGTCTAGCAGTGAAAGTTACTGACATATAGGGTGTGCAAAATCGAGACTTTCCAAGTTTTTGGTGTTCAATTGACATTTAATTGAAACAAATTATAAATTTAGATTTTTTGACCACCTTGTATCAATTTCAATTGAACACCAATTGATAGTGAGTGCAAAGTTGAGATAGGGACATGTAAACCGTTTGACGAATAATGAACAGTTTCGACAGAAAAAAATCCTGAACTTGGAAAATCTCGATTTTGCACACCCTATATGTCAGTAACTTTCACTGCTAGACCCTAAGTATGATGGGTCGTTGGAATCAAATCTCCAGGGAGAATTCAAAAATGAAATAAAATATAGGGTGTTCCAATGAAAAGAACATAGCTTTGATGTGTTGTGACCTTACGGAACACCCTGTGTATTTCAGAGAAATTTTTAAATATGAAGCTCGGTTATTACTTCAATTTTGATTCATGAATTTTTTCTGTATCTCTCAAGACAACAGAGAAATCGAACTCTGGAGTCTTAGTTGGCCACCCTGTACATAGATCGGGTTGCAATGGTAATAATAACAAAACAAATAATAATATGGATATTTTATATGCAAAGTTGATCAAGAATGGGATGAAACCCCCATTCAATTATCAAAATTGAGTGATTTGAAAAATGAACAAATTAAAATAGTGAGCAATTTCATTGGAAATAGTAATATTAAGATTTGGATCAAAATAAATTAAGATACTATTGAGATTTCGTAAATACTGAATTCTTTTTATATATGGCCTTATACTTTAACTTCAAATTTATATCATCTGTCTAGTTTTCTGGATCTGTGTTGTTATGTAATGGGTAGTATTAGGAAAAACTCCTGGTATGTTTTAACACCTCAAACCTAATGGAAAAATAAATACCATACAATTACCCCCTATTATACCCTCTCCTGACAACACGTATGCTTACCGGATCTGGTAAAATTGGCACCGCAAGGAGTCAGAAAACCAAGAAAAACAAATGATAATAAAAAGAAGAATGCATCATGAAATTTTTGTTAGAAAAAACAATAAAATGGCTGCTCCTGAGTGGCGGACGAGTTTTGTAATTATGATACGATTCTACTCAAAATTGGTTTCTGATGAAGGTTTTTGGGGTCGGAGAATATGATATTCCTTCGTCAAACTCTGGAAATCCAAGATGGCGGATCAAATATGGCGGACGAGATTTGATATTATGATTCGAATCTATTCAAAATATGTAACTGCGTGTTTACGGGATCAGAGATTATGATTCTTTCGTCAAAATTTCAAAATTCAAGATGGCGGATCCAATATGGCGGGAGAGTTTTGTCATCATGTTCTGATATTATTCAAAATTGGTATCTGGGGGTTTTAGCGGTCGGAGATTATGATTCTTTCGTCGAAATTGGTCAATTCAAGATGGCGGATCCAATATAGCGCACGGGTTTTGTAATTATGATCAGAATTTATTTAAAATTTGTATATATGGGGGATTTCGGAGTTGGAGATTATGATTCTTTCGTGAAAATTGGAAAATTCAATTTGGCGGATCCACTATGGTGGACGAGTATTGTGATTATGATCCAATTGTATTAGCTGAACTAAAAAATAGAGAATAAATAGTAGTTTAAAGCACTAAAGAAATACCCTCTTATAGATAGCCAAACTGCGAGGAAGTAGAAAATTAAATAATGAAAGTGTGTTGATAAATAAATACATAGAATCTACTGATGATGATAGTTTACAGTTATGTATATATTGTGACTTACCTGAAAAGCGAAACAACATTTTTCATCCCCCTGATATGAGACAGGCGTTTGAAAAAATTACACAAGCTGTAACTTCACCATCCACATTTTCACTTCACCATACAACGTATATTCCTCATTCTAGCGCCATATCATACATTGTGCAGTCATGAAATATAGTGCTTACCTATTTTTAATAATACGCAAATAAGGTAATGAAATTAAAATTTCGAATGAAAAAAGAAAAAAATGCGGTATATCACTGAAACTTCTCAACATCTTTGGAAAAAAATGAACCGACGCTCATGAGTGGATTGATAAGGAATTGAAATTGACCACAGCCAACCGTGTCTATCATATTCGTATGCAGTTCTTATATTTTTCACTTTTTCGATTTTACTTCAATAATTAGACACTTTCTCCTTTTTTGTCTTAATCTCGATAAAGATGGCACTGAATCATGACGATTTAATATATATCTGTCGTTAATTCGTTTGTGAAAACCTAAAAAAATAGCGATGTGTTGAATAGAAATAGGAGTTATAATAATATGTTTGCCAACATTATCCGGACAACCTGTATAAATAGCCGCAAATAA